AAAGCAAAACTGTGAGTATGTGTCTTACTATACCCTAAACCCGAAACCCGAAACAGCAAGTATGGTAAACACCCTAGCCTAAACCCTAAACCCTAAACCCAAAACCCTAAACCCTAAACCCTAAACTCTACTCCGAGGCCTTCAGACCAGCTGGAGGGCTTCCATCTCGTTCACGTCTTCCATCACAGAGCAAGAACCTCCGAAAAGAAGCACGGTTTAGGGTTTAGGGTTTTGGGGCCACAAGCTGTACAAGGTTGGGGTTTAGGGATTAGGGTGTAATAGATGTTAAACTTTTCGCGATGAACGCAAGCATAAGAGATTTGCGGTATGGGGTTTGACATATAGCAACTAAACGGCGTAGCACATCCCAGTCTACAGTAATGTAGGGGCCTAAATGATTACCAATACTATTTTGGGGGGTTCCTTATCATAATTATAGTATAATGGGCCCCAAAACCTTGTTCTAATTATTAAGGCCCCTATATTAGGCCCCTGAACCCTAAGCCCTAAACCTTAAGCCCTTCTTCCCAAACCCAGAGAGATGTCCTCCGAAATCTGCGGTTTTTAAAGTTTCGGGAATTGAGGTTCAGGGCTTCGCTTGATGGTTTTTGCTTTTGGGGTTTAGGGTTTAGGGTTTAGGGGCCCAGTATGGGGGCCTTAATACTTAGAACATGGTTTTGGGGCCCATTATACTATATTATAATAAGGAGCCCCCCAGAAGCGATGACGAATGCGCAGTCATCAGGTTTGCTGAGCATCAACTGGCGACTCCGAAGACTTGGGCATAGCAAACTGCTTTCGCCAAGGATTTTACATTTTCTGTTCTCTAAGTGTATTCGTTTCGCTCTTCGCGACGCAGTCCCTAAACCTAAACTCCAAACCGAAAACCCCGTGAAACCCCAAACCCTCTACTCCCCTAGTCAGTTTCGACTAGCTCAAATACCACCGCCGTGAACCTCAGGGACCTGGTTAGTATTACTACCTCTTATGGCTCTGTTTCCGTTGAAGATTATGCAAGACACTAGACTTTTCCCCTCGAGACCGATTCGGAGTTTTCAGCCCTTCTGTTACACCCATCACCAATCACATCTTGACGATCCGCAGATGAACAGGGCCCCGCACCGGTTGCAATCTTCAGTTTGTTCTTTGGAGACCTCGGGGGTTGGGCGTGGAGATCATCACCCTTAGAAAAAACCTTCTAGACCCTAAACCCTCAATCCTAAACCCTAAGCATCCCTTCTTGGCTGATGGCAAACCTTTCAAGGAACCCCTTTGAAGACCCCTTTCAGGAAGGCTCCCTCTAAGGAGCCCTTTCAAGACCTTCTAAAGGATCATAGATCATAGGGGTAGTTCGGGTTCCTTTTAGGGTCCTTTTTCTAAGGGTGCCGTACTACTCATGGGGAACCTAAAAGGGGACCCTAAGTCAGAGAGCTACCCCTATCCCAAGCGCGTGAAGGAACTCTTGCAGCCGCTCTGGCAGATCTGATTCAGCTTGTAATCTAAACCATAAACCCTAACCCAACTTTTCGCACCTCAAACTCTATAAACCCGAAACCCTAAACAAACCCTAAACCCTACACCAGGGGAAAAAAACAGGCAGTTCAGCCAGGCCTCAACGTAATGGTACCCCGAAACCCTAAATCCCTGAAGGAGAAGAAAGCCTAAACGCTTACGCCTTTACCCCGAAGCCTAAACCCCTAAACCCTAAACCCCTTCAGCCTCTAAACCCCAAAAGTCCTTAAGCCCTAAAACCCCCGAACCATCTGTTTAGGGTACCTTTCACGGCTATACCTTCGTTGAGGGCACCGTTGAACTCAACGGTTCGTTCGCCATGGCCTCTTTGGCCCTGCCTCACACAGGGCAGGGGCTTAAGCCACCTCCAAGGCATCTAAGGAGGCGGGTTTCCTGTGGGAGGGTTTAGGGTGTAGGGTTTAGGGCTTCCTTGCAATCATGTTTTGTTGCCAGTTTTCTCTCTAACTCGGGCTGAATTCATGTAAACCTCGGCTCTTTAAGGACTTCACAGGAAACCCTAAACCCTAAACCCTAAACCCTAAACCCTAAACGGGTGTTTTCAGGGTTCGAGGTCCGGGAGCCTCAGTTGTCAGGTTTCAGGGTCCAGAGCCGAGAGCTCAGAGGGTTTTAGGACGTGGGTGATTAGGGTTTAGGGTTTAGGGTTTTAGGGTTTAGGGTTTCAGGGTTTAGGGTTTTAAGGGTTTTAGGGTTTAGGGTTTAGGGTTTAGGGAGTTTTCGAGCGAGGCTCCTGGATTTACGGATCAGACACTGGGAGGTGGTGGAATGTAGGAGCCTGCATAATTTCAACAGGGTTTTGGAGTCTAGTCTACTATAACTATAATGAGGACCCCCCCAAAAAAAAAAAATATAGGAAACTTTTTGAGGCCCCTATATCTAGGACGTTTTTCAGGTGGGTAGTTACCGTTCTAGGAGCCTTATAGAAGCCCTATATACCCTAAACTCCCCACCTGTAGTTTCATTTAACTATATCAGGATTGCAGGCTTAGGGCTGCTAGATGTTTCTTAGGATAGCCTCTGGGTGCTCAATGTTTTGGGGGGGTGTTCTGCGCTTTTTTTGATTTCCTCAGACTCCAAATAGCCCAAAGAGGTAGTATTCATAGACTGTAGAACCCCCAAAGTAGGTAGTATTTGTATACTTGGAGTCTTAAGGATTGAAGGGACTTCCACAAGACTAGTTCGGTTTAGGCCCTGAGAGGATGAGCTTCGTGCAGTTTTTTGAAGCTTTTTTGCAGGAGGATGCTGAGGCTCATGGGTTATATCAGGGGCCGCGATGCATGATTCTTGGGCCAGTGGAGGGTTTGGGTCCTAATGGGCTTATATACGCTTCAGGGCTCGCCGTCGCTTCGAAGACAAATTTACGGAAACTGAAGGTTTACAGTGGTTAAACCCTAAACCCTAATCCCTAAGCCCTAATCCCTAAACCCTAAACCCTAAACCCCTAAACCCCTAAACCCTAAACCCCTAAACCCCTAAACCCCTAAACCCCTAAACCCTAACCCCTAAACCCCTTGAGCCCTAAACCCTAAACCCCTAAACTCCTAAACCTTAGGGTCTAAAGGCTGGGGTCAGTTTATGGGCCTTGCCGGTGGCCGTCGGGCCCTATAACCACCTGCCTAGATTCCTCTTCAGGGATCTAGTGCTCTGGGATTACATACTGCTTACGCACCACCAGAACCTACTTCGTCGTAGGTTCTTGTTAGAAGCATTCTAAAATATATAAGGGCCCTGACACTCTAAACCCTAATGTAGAAGCCTAACTAATTAACAATACATTTTTGGTGGTTCCTGATTATTAACTTGCTACAAAGGAGCCCAAAACCCTATTCTAACTATCCCTAAACCCTAAACCCCCTATATCAGACCAATTATAGGTGGTGGTTCTTTCAAGGAGGGCTTCGGAGGTCAAGGCCTCCAGTCCCGGCCTCCTTGATCTGCGTTGGGGCTTAGAGTTTAGGGTTTAG